TGGGAGCACTCACCCATGCTGCAAACCAGCAAAGCACTGAGCACTGGGTGTATATGAACAGCTCTTCGCAGTTAAGTGGCAACATCTTTTCATGTGTTTGATGTTTGCCCAAGGAGTCCTGCTCTGTCATTTCTAATCTTCCTAAGCATTTCATGTTCCCTACAGCCAGTAACTCTTAACAATCACAGTAAGTCCTCAAGAAGTTAGACCTCACAAAAGCAACTCCAAACCATTTCTCAGTTATACCCATTTCAACATTCTTCATCCAAAGCACTCAAGACACTTCAGCACCAAGTGCCTAAGACACACTCAGAGTTCCTCCTCCCACCCCAAAGGCAGAAGGAATTGTTAATTCAGAGGAGAGACAAAAAGCTGTTAGCAAACCTTTGTTTGTTTAAGATGTGTTTATTTCTAGTTGCCAAATATTAACAAAAACATCCTATTACAGGCTTCCTCTGTTAAATATCACAATGTGGGTAGGTGACCTTAAAACATTTGTGCATTGTAATAATAGTTTGTTTCCAACTAGGAGCATCTAGATACCAACAAAGGCTGGGCCTGGAAAAGGCCAGCTCTGCACACAGCCATGGTACCCTCAACATGATCACGCTGCACTCCTAAGGCTCTGTCACCTCTGTTTCGTGATGCCCAGAGAAGGAAAGTTGCATTTCTCCACACACATCATTCAACCCCTGCCTTTCATAAAAACTCTTCTGCATTTCAGGAGGACTTGGACTCATTTTCTGTCACTTCTTAAGGAACTGCTCGCTATTCCTGTACCTAAAGATATGCTGCCCTCTGTGAACAGAAATCAAAGACGGTCAAACATGCCAGGACAGCTGACTTGATAAAGGGGCAGCTCTGTGATGAGTATGAAGATTGTATTTTTAAACAAAATAAATAAAATATAATTTGGAAAACAAAGAATAGACTAAAACCTTAGTGGGTACATAAACCACTTTTAACCACATTACATCCAGAGAAATGGAAGATCAGGACAGTGTACACAGTGTTAAAAATAGCTTCCACAACCCAGTTCTAGTTACAGAGCCAGCAAGTATCTTTGTGCCAGTCCTCTGACAAGTTATGCTATGCTGGAAGAGACACAATTAAGCAAGAGTATGGCAGAGGTCTCAAGAATAACACAGGGGAGAAGAACTGGAAACGCTTATTTGCTCTTTCACACAATGCAAGACCTCAGCCCAAGAAAATGATCTGACAGTAGGATTAAAAGAAACAAAAGGACCTGCATCTTCACACAACATATGGATAAACAGAGTATAATTAATGCATAATCAAACAGCAAAACGCATTGCTGCAGGATGATGTAGAAATCGAAACATAAGCAGATTCAGAAAAAGATGCACAAATTTCTGCTAGGCAGATGTGGTAAAAACAATGGGTACTAGACACAGTGGTCCAAAGGTGGTCACCAGCTCTCAATCCTTGAAGAGACAATTGCTGGGAACCAGAGAAAGCTGACTTGAACTGACAGTCTGGGCTAGACCTTTGGTTTGGCTATTTTTATGCCCTCAGCATCCTTCTGATGTTTTTCTTGCACAAGCTGATTCTAAGAAAATTTAGCTTCACCCCCCCCTTCTTTTACCTCCTCCCTCCATCGAACCACCCTCCCCTCTGTGTCCTGCTGCCGATCCAGTGATGCTGACACTCCTCCTGCTTGCTGGGTTTCCCATTCCCAGGCTCTTGGCCACTCTGCAATCGTAGGCACCTTGTCCTCAGCCTAACACAGCTCCATCACAGGACCAACCATGCTGCTAACTGAAGCAGGACCTGGAACGATAAACCACAGAGGCTCCTGAAAAAGCAAAGGGAGCACGAACGAGAGCTGATCCTTCTGTTAGAACAAGCACTACTGAATTTAGCCAGGCTACCTGAGGATGCTCTTGGGGCAGCAGCTTGGTTGTAGCTTGTTAGCTGCAGCAGCTTTCCTTTTCACACAGATCTTGACCCAACAGCCTCCTGGTTTCTGCATATATTACTCCACTGGTGTCCTTCTCTCCTGACACAAAGCACTCTCTACTATTTCTATCAGCATCTAGCTCCAACAATGTAGCTCAGGTTCTGCACCTCATTCCTAACCCACAGGGCCTCTGTGGATCCACATGACAGGTACATAAGGAGAACTGGCAGATGGGATGCTGGCTCTCTATTGAGATGGTTTAGGGGGATATCTGAAATGCTGCAGCATTCAGAGAAAGCCTCCTCTGCTTTCTGCTGCCCTCCCACAACGCTGAGCTGATCGAAGAGAAGAACATGATAACTCTCTGCCCCGAGTCAGCTCTGCACTGACAGTTCACTAGAGATACAAGATCGCTCAGTGACATTAAAAATGTCAGCAAACACCGATCAGGCTTGACAGAAGGGATGCATTAGCAGGCTGGGGGGACACAGGGCAAGGTAAAACTTCAGCGAACACAGTCAAGTGCACAGGCAGCTTTTCTCCCTCTGTCCTCCACACATGGCTTTTTCACAGATCTCAAGGTACTGTGGCCACCAGCACAGCAGTCAGATGTGGAGCTCACCACCACCTGCATAGCCAGATCAATCCAAAAAGGTTTGCCTTGGCAACACAAGCATGGTAGCTACCAGGGGCCAATTCCTGTCTTCAGCTTGCCTGGGAGGGAAGTCTTGGAAACTGTGAAAGAGGCCTGGAGCCACAGGGTTCTCACCTCAACTGCTCCTGCAGTGAAGAAGTAACAATGGAAGAGTTTATTGGAGAATGAACCCTGAGAAAGACTATCTCACTACTACAGGAAGAGGAACCACTGAGCTCTGGAGCATCCTGTCCTCTGGTACCGTGAGCATGGACAAGGACTGTTTCTTCAAATGATACAAAACGGAGACAAACAGGCGCTGAAGCCATGTATGCACAGGCAGAGAGAATCTGAAACATATTTTGTTGCTACTGCACTACACACAGGTACATAAACATGTCTGCCCCATACACACACCTTTCCATATGTAATCCCACTCTTCTACATCGCCTTGTATTTGCATCAACAGCTTCCTGACTCAGAAGGGTTCTCTTGTTCTGCTCACAAACAGAGACCCAAAGGAGAGACAGCAGATGCAGGTGGGGCCATCCTGCAGGAAAATGCTCAGTCACACATGCCTGTTTTCTTGATACCTAAAACATCCAAGACTTTCCATTATTCATAGCCTAGAAATTAGCAGCTTCACACCCCACACCCCCCCGCCTTCACTTCATGGGTCAGGTCAGAGGCAGACAGCCTAGGAGGTATTTCTAAGTCAGGAACATGCCAGAAGGAGGGGAAAAGGGGCCACCTGAACTATACAGGGAAGAACAGGGGAGCTAGATACCTGTCCGCTCTTATTTGTCTCACACTGGGAGCTCACTCAAAAGATACTGAGGCTTATTGGGTGCAGGTGCTTGGACAGAATTACTTATTTAGGATGGTAATCCTCTCTTGTGACCCCTTCAGAGAACTGGGCAGGGGAACACTTCACTGCAACAGCTTCCCTCCTCCTCCTGCCTTCAGCTCTGTGCTTAGGACTTCATGGATGCTCAACTTAGTATCACAGTATTTCCTGAAGTACAATACACAAAACACTCATCTTGAAGAACAGCCACTTGCCTGGATGTCCACATTATGATGAATCCCAGCTCCTAACATGCTAAATCCAGGAGCTTTGAACTACTGGAAAGAGCTGTAAGTCATTCATCCTGAGGCCCACAGGAGGAACATGGCTGGATCAACCTACTTCTTAAAAACATCACAGCATATAGGGATTTTTTTATTTATTTATTTTTAAGTATTATTATTCTGCAGCCATCAACCTGCTGGTTATGTAGCTGCTATCCATTCACCGGAAGTTTAGTGAACTTCAAATGGCGATCATTAATGGTCACTGAACTGCAGAATGCCCCAATGTGCTTTCAGATTTCATTTACCAAGGACCAGCAACCAGCCAAAAGATTTGCTCTGACAGCAGGGAAATACAAGACCCTTTGACAAGTTCAGCTGGGAATGTGCTGCCAGCATCCCTTGTTAAGTTCATGTTCTACCCTATTTGATGGAACAGATCATGCAAATTGTCCTTCTGCCTGTCACTCATGCTTCCATTTAAAACAATAAATAAATAAAAGAACAAAAGAAAAGCCCACAATGAGCTGTTTACAAGCAAATTCCACTTACCGAGACCCCTAATTATCAGGAAAAGATGCAGAAACCCAAATAAAACATTACATTTGATGGGGGGAGGGAATCTTAACCAGGAGAGCCACCCCAGCTTCTCTCATGCACAGACCCCAGCCTTTCCCCTCACCCTGCTACTGCTTGTAATCACACTTGTTCTTTTCTTCCCACTTTGATTTGTGACTTACGGCATCACCATATTTTATTGTGCAGACAGAACAGCAGTGCCAGGAGACCCTGTGGATGCACAGCAAGCTGCTCTGTAACCACCCAGAGAAGGCGTGGAGCAACACAAGGCACCAGACAGTAAAGTCCGAGGCATTTTGCTTTGCAAAGTGATCACCAGTCTCTTAGGTGGATGTGCTGCTGAGACATCTTCCCTTCCTCACACCACAGAGGGAAATGCTGATTTTTATACTGGAACATTTCCACATTTATCAACTAGACTTTGAACTGAAGGGAACGGTGCTCCTAGGAGCTTTATACGGCTGCAAAACAAAACGGAGTCAGCAACACTGAGGCCAATACAACCTTCAGTTGCAGAGGGGCCTCACAGTGTCCCATTATTATATGGAGACACCGCACTGTGCCTGCCACAATGGGATTCTCCTCAGCTGCAGAACACATCCCATCAAGTATAGTAAGACTCTATTAGAGGAGATACAATAGGGAGCTGAAGGACTCGCTCAGCCCAGCTTCTGAGAAAATAACTCATTTCAATGCAAAACAGCAGTAGTTATTAGACACCTCCTTAAAGAGGAAAGGAGAAGGGCAAGGGGAGGGGGGGACTGAAGGAGACCATGGCAGTTTGGGTAAAAGTACCTTTTTCAGATTAATCCACTGTTTGAAGTAATCAGCAACCGGCAGCCCTAAGTACTGGCATTGTCCTGGTAACCTGTAAGAGAGAAGAGAGAGCAGGTTTGATTCAATCAGTGTCCTGACAACACAAACTCTGTTTTCTTAAGTGCATTTCGTTCTGAGACGGAAGAGACCCTCAAGTCTGCTGTAACATGCTGCATGTCAGAAGGACCATAGCTCTCGGCAAAAAAGAATATCTCACGAGAGCACAGCTTGGCTGAAGACTTACTTACATCCAGCCACATCCAGGCTGCTGACACCTTTCACACTGATCATTTTGAACAGGAGCCGTGTGCAAGCGCAGCATGCAGCTCTGCTCCACAGTGGCTAACGCAAACATGACTGGAGCATCCAGGCTGTCCTTTGCTAAGTGAACACATCACAAAACCCGCAAAACCATCCTGCTCAGCCAGTGGCTCACAGGGCAAGCAGAAGGACTGACGATTCTCCTGTCATGCCCTGGTGCTTTTCCATTTGGACTTTACAGTTAAAACACCGAATGAGACATGAAGAAGGGAAGGAGGCATGACTGCATTCATTTTTTAGGTAGTAATGCTGCTGGACCAACATTTTAGGGCTAAGAAAGCTGCTTTCCAAGCACATGCTTGGAAGAGGAGAGCAGTCACAACTCTGAAGATACAAGGTGCTCTGTCACACTACGGGTTGGAGCACCAGCAGCCAGACCTGCAAGCACACACAGAATGGTTCAGGTTGGAAAGGACCTTATGATATCTTAACATTTCCCTTCCTACAGCAACCTGCAGAACAGGGCTCACAAAACAAAATGGCACTTGTAAGGGAATTTCCTGAAGGGACAGGAGGACCCCAGGATTTGGAAGCTGTTTATCCCACACTCTGGTGTGTTTTGGCAGGGGAGCTACGATGTGCCCCTCAGACGGGGAAGGCTGAGTCACAAAGCCAAGCAGCTTCAGCCAAGTCTGTGCAAGGAGATGAGTTATGGGAGTTTTCCCTGGCCAGTTTGATCTGATCAAGAGTAATTGATGGATCTTGTTCATTCACATACTGCTGAGCAAGCCTGGGGCACTGGTCACAGGATCTTTAACTGAAGCAAAGGAACATCCCAAATAAATATGTCAACTAAATAAATGACTAAATTAGAGCCATTTGTGCATGTTAAAAGCCACAACCCCAGAAATCGGCTTTTGCAAACAGAGGGGGTGGGGAATCTCACAACTTCCTCAGGCACTTGGGAGGTTGTAGAGGAGGAGGGAAGAGCTGTGAGTACCAGCATCTGCTGCTTAAACATCCCAACACAGACCATATCCAGGGCAGTCGTCTCCCACTCCTCCATAGAGGAAAGAGCTAC